GCGTGTGTGCGTGTGTGCGTGCGTGTGTGCGTGCGTGTGCGTGTCCGTGTGTGTGTGTGTGCGTGCGTGTGTGTGTGTGTGTATCTGTGTGCGTGTGTGTGTGTGTGGGTTTGGGTGTGTGTGTGTGTGTGCGTGTGTGTGTGTGTGTGTGTGTGCGTGTGTGTGTGTGTGTGCGCGTGTGTGTGCGTGTGTGTGTGTGTGTGTGTGCGCGTGTGTGTGCGTGTGTGTGTGCACGCGGGTGCGCTCGCGGGTGCGTGCGGGGGTGCGTGCGCGGGTGCGCTCGCAGGTGCCCGCGCGGGTGCGTGCGCGTGCTCGTGCTCGCGCGCGTGCGCGTGTGCGTGTGCGTGTGAGTGCGCGTGCGCGTGCGCGTGCGCGTGCGCGTGCGCGTGCGCGTGCGCGTGTGCGTGCGTGTGTGCGTGTGCGTGTGCGTGTGCGTGCGCGTGTGCGTGTGCGTGTGCGTGTGCGTGTGCGCGTGCCGCGCACGCGCGTGCGTGCGTGCGTGCGTGACTGTGTGTGTTGTGTGTGTGTGTGTGTGTGGGTAGGGGTGCGTGCGTGCGTGCATGCGTGCGTGCGTGCGTCCATACAAGCGTGGTGCACCTGGTGCGCGTGCGTGTGTACGTGCGTGCCTGCACGCCGTGCGTGCATGCGTGCGTGTGTGTGTGTGTGTGCGCATGCGAACGTGCGGGCAAGCTGTGTGTATGTGAGTGTTGCTTCTGCTCATGCGTGCCGCCGTGTGCGTGCACGTTCGCATCATGTTCATTTTGTGCATCATGTGCACGTTGTGCATCATGTGCATTTTGTGCAGCATGTGCCTGTGTATCATGTGGGCGTGTGCGCGTGCGCGTGCGTGCGCGTGTGCGTGCATCCACGGCGTAAACTGGCCGAGACATCAACTTCACATTCCACACGGAGACCCTGAGCGAGCAGCAGCCGTTAATTACACCTTCAAGGCAGTCTGTGGCAGGTACAGCCTACGTTGCGTCAGCAAAGCAGTAGGCATCAGAAGAGTTCATCCGAAGCAGCCCATGCAGAGTTCTGTGACAGCAAGGCCCGAGCTGCAGCGTCTGGGTTGTTCTCTGTGCACGTGACCAAAGATAGACAGCATACAAAAGTGGCAACTCATGTCTGGGCCACCCCGACTCGAGACTCATAGCCGAAGGCATGCTCAAACGACTCTGTGGAGCCTGCCTGCAACGGTGCTAAGTATTTTCAGGCTATGAGAATGCTCTTGAAGCCCAGCTGCTGCCGGCCTCGTCTAGGCCGTGCAACTGTATTTGTGCCCTTACCCAGTTTCTGGGCCGCCAGTGCGGGGCCTGCCAAGTTGATCCATCAAGATTTCACCATACCAAAACCATGTCACTGTGGTGCTGCGACCAAGAAAATCCCCTGACAGCAGCGCACTCCGGCAGCTTGCCTTTTTCAGGCACTCGGACACGAACGTCCAGCCCGGCCTCGCCGGGTCTTGAATAGCCAAACTGTCCATGATTTCATCAAACGACCGAGGGGATGTGATAAGCTCACGACATGCCAATGTCCAGCTTTGCCAACACAGACCTGAAGCTTCAGAATTCACCGCTGTAGCACGTGACCAACCAATCAATCAGCCCATGCGTGAACACAAGCAAAGAAAACTGACTGGAGAAATGCGCGCCACCAAGATCAGGCCGTGTTCCTTATTCTATTCTCCAAAGCGGGATGTCACTGTCCATTCAAGGAGTAAAGGATTGCATACAAGGGTGACGAGACATTCGTTGACTCTGGCATTGTGTTGCGACCTAGGCTCAGTCATAAACGCAGTGGGTCTAAAACAAACAAGGACTGCGGAAATAAGAATTGGGCAGTTGCAATCACCTAGCTGAATCACGATGCAAGTGTAACCATGAAGTCACTTCCTCACAGGCAGAAAGCTAGCATGCTTGCTGCAACAAACAATTTCGCCGCAGGGCCACGCTGAAGGCGGGCAAATCACGCGACGACATTCGGACGGACTCAGGGGGCCCTGCTTCATGCCTGGCGCTCGCAGCTCCCGGATGCCCATCGACTCCAGCTGCTCCAGGAGCTGAGGGCTGATCGAAGCGCTTCGATTGATCAATGTGGCCCAAAAGAGAGAAAGAGACAGAGGGAGGGAAGGGAGGGAAGGGAGGGAAGGGAGGGAGAGGGGGAGAGGGAGAGGGGGAGGGAGAGGGAGAGGGAGAGGGAGAGGGAGAGGGTGAGGGAGGGAGGGAGGGACAGAAGTCAAAAAGCCAAGGCGTTGACGAGTTCAGACAAGAGTGCGAGCAACGAAAGACGAATGATATAACGGCACAATGAAGGGAAATAAGCAGTCCTGCGCAAAACCAGGCATCTGATTATTTGCACTGCTGAGAAGCTGTGAGTATGATACATGAAGCAGTAACGCACCTCACAACAACTTATTAAGCAACATCGCTTTGCAGAGTACAAACCATTGTTCGCTGACTGGCACTTTGATCAATTGACCGGTTTGAACCTGGCACTCCTGACTGCCTTGCTTGGTCAAGAATAGAATGGATGCCATCAAACCAAGTACAATCAGCAAAACAATATCTCATGGGAACCCACCCCAGTGAGCAGGACGTCCCGACGAGGCACACGTTGCTTTTCTGTGTCTTTGGTCTCTGGCCTCGGCAGTATGGAGCATGACGGCCACTAGAACAGCTCGGGGCGAGCTGGGAAACCTTCTGTCCAAACCAGGCCAACAAACCCAAGGAAAGCCCTGCGACTACAAGACTAGACTTGAAAAGCTAAAATGAGCATGGAGGAATACTATTGGCACCTATAAGCACCGTCCATGTGCAGGCCTCAGGGCGTCCCCCAGGAAGGTCGCCACCGTACCCAGTCGCTTGTCCAGGACTTTCTCCAGCGCCTCCTGAAGTTGCAGAGGCTGCAAAAAGATGAGACGACATGGCAAACAAGTGAGGCTCATCAAGGCGAACCAAGATGAGACTGAAGACAGGAACAGACAGCCTACCAGTCAGGGAGTTCTTAAGTAGCAAGGGACACCCTTGCTTCAGTTGATTTGCAACTGTTCTGTTGATCTCAAAATACGCCCTTGCTTTCACAGCGCCGCCATCAATCTGGCTCGGCCGCTTTGCTCCGTGGTCCAAACTGCAACCGCTCTCCTGGCTTGCCGGCTTTGCACCTCGTCAGAATGAGAGAGAATAGATATGAGAAAAATCAACACAGAAAGGAAGAAAGAAAACATGTAAGGGAAAGAAACAAACAAAGGAATGAAATAAATAAAGGAAGAAGGGAACGCAGGAAGACGGACGAACAAATGGATGGATGGAAGGATGAACAAAAGAACGAATGCAGAAAGGAGTAAATGGGTGAGTAAATAAACACGTAAGTGAGGAATTCACAGAATTAAAGAGGACAGAATGAATGAGTTCACTAATGAAGGCACCCTTGAGTGAATCAAGAAGTCAGTGAACTGAGTAAACAAATGCAACCACTCACCCGACAAACAACAAGCCGACAACGAAGAAGGAATGGCACAATGAGAAGTGAGAATGAATGAACGAGCAAATGGCCCAATGAATGTATGAATGGGTCAATGAATCAATGAATCAATGAATCATGAACCAATGAACCATTGAATGAATGAATCAATGAATCAATGAATCAATGAATCAATGAACCAATGAACCAATGAATCAATGAATCAATGAATGGAACGGTACGGAACGGAGCGGAGCGGAACGGAACGGAACGGACGGAACGAAACGGAACAAAACTGAACGGAACGGAACAGAACGAACTGGATTGGAATGGAATGGAATGGAATGGTATGGAATGGAATGGAATGGAATGGGACGCAATGGAATGAAATTTTACGAATGAATGAGTGAACGAATGAGTGAATGCATGAAGGCATGAATGCATGATTGCATGAGTGCAAGAGGGCATGAGTGCCTGAGTGCATGAATGCATGACTGAATGCAAAAATGACGGACGGACGGACGGACGGACGGACTGACTGACTGACTGAATGACTGACTGACTGAATGAATGAATGAAGGAATGAAGGAATGAAGGAATGAAGGAATGAAGGAACGAACGAACGAACGAACGAACGAACGAATGAATGAATGAAGGAATGAAGGAATGAAGGAATGAAGGAATAAAGGAATAAAGGAATAAAGGAATAAAGGAATAAAGGAATAAAGGAATAAAGGAATAAAGGAATGAAGGAATGAATGACTGACTGACTGACTGAATGAATGAGTGAGTGAATGAATGAATGAGTGAGTGAATGAATGAATCAATGAATCAATGAACGAACGAACGACCAAAGGGAGGGACGAACGGTAAACGCATGAATGAACAAAACAATGAGCGAACGAACCAGCGACGGAATAAACAAACATATAAACAAACGAAAGCACAAACGATTGAACGAACGATTCAATGAATCAATCAGCCGATGATCAAGAAATTCATGAAGCAATGGCGCAAGGGACGAATGAACCGACGAGTCAATATTTCCCAAAAACGTAGAAAGAATGCAAGAATGAAAGGAAACATGAAACAATGTGAGTGTGAAAGAGTGACAGACCCAAAGACTGGAGAATTTGCCACGGCCGTTTTCGGCGTGTTCCAACTACACGCACAAGCAATATCTGGATTAAGAGAAAAACCTTGAGAAAACATAGAAACAGAGAAGAAGAGCGGAGAAGAGAAGTGAAAGAGGAGAGGAGAGAAGATAAGAGAAGGAAAACGAGGAAAGAGGAGAACGAAGGAAAAGATGAGGGAAGGAGAGAAGAGAGAAGATAAGAGAGAAGAGAAGAGACTAGAAGCACAAAAGTGGCAAGAAGCCAAGAAGAAAAGCAGAAAACTAAGTAAAAATAAAAATAAAAAATAAAAAAGAAGAAGACAACAAGAAGCATAGAGAAGCGGAGTGAAGCGGAGCGAAGCAGAGGGAAGCAGAGGGAAACAAAGGGAAGCAGAGGGAAGCAGCAATGGCAAAGAGATGAGAAGCAAGAGAAGCAAAGAGAAGTGGAACAAATAGAGAATGTCGGGATCTGCCACACATCGCCCTGTGCAACTTCACGGCTACTGAGTCAACAGCACGTTGTGTAGCACTCCAGCAATCGGCTGAGTCCCTGCGAGGCAAGTAGGCTCAGATAGATTTCAAGCAAAGGACATCTCACGCCTTCAAAGAGAACTCCTCTTGCTTCTTCAGCGCTTCGTCCTGGGCAATGGCTCCGGGCCACTGGCACGCATGAGCCGTGACGAGCCCGGCACAAGGATCGCCTGAAGCGCAAGGCTGAACACGGAATCCCAGGGCGAACCGGCATATGTTCACCGTGCCTTTGAAGCCTCAAGATTGGCTGAGCTTTGACGGAAACAAAGTCAAGCCCCTTCCAAACGCAACAGAAAATTACGAAGAGCACCTCTCGAGTGTACCATGAAATCTGTTTCACTGTTGGGAACATCTGCCAAATAGCTCAAGCTGGCTCTGCAATCCGACTTGAAAAGGCCGTTGTCTTCGCCTCCTTGAGTTTGCTGCTGTGCACCGCTAGGTCATCGTACCTGAGGAGAGGTGAGCAGCATAGCTGGTCTGCAACTCCAACACTGTAACCCTGTGTGTGTTTCCTGTTTTTGCTGTGCATCTTCGCGTATTTTTGCGGAGCTGTGGAGCCACCATCCAAAGCCTGATTTCGTCATGCTCATGCTGACTGGCTAGGCTCACGAGCATACAACTCGATAGAGGGCCAAGGGCTTCAAAGAGGAAATGCCTTCAATGATCACAGGCCTCAGGATGCACGGCTTTAACTTTAAATGTGTGCTGCAATGCACAAAGACACTTCTCACCTAAGGCTCCGTCTCCGCGTCGTGCATGAAGGCTGTGTCCCTGTACTGCGCCTGAGCAAAGTGTTCAGACCAGGCCAGTGCCTTTCCATTGCGCTCATTGGTCACTATGCGTTTCATTGGCAACCTCTTCTTCCCATGTGCCCAAAACGGCATCGATCTGCACCAAATCACCAAGGCACCATGGAGAAGCCCCAAATGATCTGGGCCAGGCCTTACATGCTTGTTTCTTGGGTCAAATCCGCTGAAGACCTGCTTAGTCTTCCCTCTCGGAGAATTCTCTTCACAGGCCAAGCGAAAAGGCTCTCGATCTGCTATGATTTGTCTCCAAGCTCCTTTACAGTCCTTCAACATTTTTGGAGAACTTCAATTGAAGTTTGGCTTCGCACCATTGGCCGTGAAGAGCTTCATGTCTCGCCTAAGTTGCCAAACAGGGGAGAAGCGTACACCAAGGCTGAAGGAGATCCTTCACTAGCAAAGCACATCGGGATTGAGAGATCCTGACAGTGCCCGGCCTGCAACTAGTAGCCACTGCATCACAAAGGTCCTTTTGCCTCGGAATAGATGCCAATCAATGATGGTCCACTTGAGTTCGCGACACTGAAAGCTGTTGATATTAGCAAACGTGCCGTGTAGTTCAAACACACAGCTGAAGTGCCTGGCCTCATGGAAAGAGCACCAAATGCCCAAACCACGTGCACCAGCTGAGCCGCAGCAAACTTCTCGCAACGCTTGGCCACCTGCAATCAACTGAAATGTTGCATGTTTGTTTCACTAATCATAAGTTGCTTGATGGCTACGCCCGAAAAGGCAGCAGCTTTGGCACACAAGACCCCTAGTCGAATCAGCTTCTGGCCTTGACCCCAATCTCTCGCATCAGATCAGGATGAGGACTGGGTTTCACAACGCACACACGATTCTTGCGTGCTTCAATATGCAACTGTCTCGATGCACAACTGTGCAAATGTGTGAATGCGTATTGAACATGTGAATCAGCTGACATTACAAGTGTGTGATTGTGACGCACAGCGAACGTGCGAGTGATAGAGAGAACGTGAGGTACCGATGCTTCGTGTCTGTGTGTGTGCTGGCTTTCGTGTTCGCGTTGCCAAATTTATGTCCACAAATTGATTTGCTGCTCACCTCGCTGATGCGTATGCTTGATGCGCGTCTGTGCCAGCGCTCATTCTCTTCTGAACGAAGCTTATTCTTTGTGCTACCTGGCAAGGCAATCTCAGAAAACTCAGCTCTGCACACCGAGCTCACAGCAAAGGCCCATGTAAGCATAGTGATCTCAGCTGCTTTGAAGCCTTGGCAAGCGGAGGGAGGAAACAGGCCCATGTTGTCCCTCTTCTACGGTGTTTCAAGTTTCGCAACGAAACACCGCCCTTATTCCATGATGAAGCTTGGGTGCCTCGAATATCTCAAGCATGAAGCAACGCGTGCTGGACCCTCCATGCATTTCCATCCATGTATGCAAAGTACTTTGAAACTTCACCGGTGCGCTGCTCGCACCAACGAGTCGGGACATTTGGTCACTCCGTCTCCAAGGACCACGCTACCAATCTGCGGCAAAGCCTCGTCAGCCAAGCGCCTGATGGCAGCGACCAAGAGGGAAAGCATATAAATGTCTACATCCGTACAGTATATACTACCCTCCCATCAAAGTACTCCCTTGCTCTGATAGAGAAAGACTTCGTGCAATTGGAAGTTCGGAAGGCTGCCAAAACAATCTTGAGCATGGTAAGCAGTAGTTGACCATGCGAACTTGACATGTCCCACAGCACTCGATGGCAGACATGAAGATTCTGCGTATCGCGGACATCGTTCGCGATGGATCGGAGATCTGGTGGGGGGCAGTGCCATGGACCGGACCACGGACCATCCCTGACCAGAACAATATACCAGAATAAGGTCCTGTCGAGGACCCGGGTAGACCCTGCGGTCGTGTGGGACTAAACGCTACCACTAGACAAATGAGGGGGGTGGCAGCTCATGCTTTGGGCCTGCAGCCAAAGATGCCACACTGCTAGAGTGTCACACACATATGTATACACATACATGTAATTCTATGCGCGCACACACAAAGCACAACACACATGCATGCGTGCACGGAGTGTGCGCAACTCGTGCGCAAGTTGGAAGATTGTGGCTCGCAGTGTCAGCTTGCTGTCCCGTTGCTGCATCCGAGCCGACCTCATGATGTGGCCTTCCTTGATGCCTTCCTTGGTGCGGAAGTTCTTGGCAAAGGCCCATGCCTGGGGAGAGCAAAGGCAGCAGCCCAGACCCAGCGTTCATCCCCGCAATATTATGGAAAACTGTAGAAAGCCAACGGAAGCTGCCTTGGCTCAAAGTTCGGTAAGGTGGAAAGACTTGGAGAGCCCGCAGAAAGCAACAGAGAACCTTTGATCGTAAACATTTGCTGAGGCATCATGAATGAAAGCATCATCTCATAGTGGATCGTATCATTTTGGCTGTAATGGCTGAGCCACGCATGTCTGAGCTCCGAAATGAAACGAGGAAGGAGAAAGGATCACTCCGACTGGCTAGAAGGGCTATGAGCTGCGGACGATATTGGCAACCTCTGACGGTTGCATCCTGTCATCTCGCCTGGAGCGCGGACACGCGCGAACTTTGTCCAACCCCGTACCAATCGATCAAGCACACGATGCAAGCTGCACCTGGTACTGAGCTGATCCGCCATCGCATCATACAGTTTCTCGTTCTGGCAGGTCCAATGCTGAATGCAGCCACAAACACATTGGGTCTCAAACTTCGCAGAACCGGTTCTGCCTGCAACCGCAGGTTGGCAAATGCCCAAGCCAGATTGGCGAGCTCCTGGATGAAGCTGCAGTTCATTCAGAGAGAGAGAGAGAGAGAGAGAGAGAGAGAGAGAGAGAGAGACAGAATGCGCAGCAAGTTCGTCTGAATAGCGCATGTGCAAATCAAGTCCTTCATGGAGAATTGCGACATCTGCCTTGTTGACCTTGATTTGAGCACGAAGGATTGCAAGCCGTGGATACTTCTCAAGATGCCAAGGTCAGGACTCGGCGGCGATGAGACTCATCAGATTCACCTGATCTCATGCATGATGTGTGGGGGGCCAGAAAATCAATGTGCACAAGACGGCACTTATCCCTCAAACGCTCTTGCCTCATCAAGCAGCATGAAGAAATTTACAGCACACCCGCGTGCCAAGCCTTGCGTGTTGCCTGATATTTGTTTTTCAAAAAAAAGAAATCACCTTGGTGTGGTTGTGTGTCTAAGCCTATCTAAGGTCGCAGCGGACTTGTAGCTCAGAGTCCTAAGTTGTCAATTCACCGTGGTGTGTTTGTTGATTTGACTTCAACATACAAGCTTGCCGCAAGAAAGAAGTGCAGCTGCTGGCCGAGGCTCGAGAATGCCCAGGCAATCTTAGACATGGAGACCGGAGTCAAGGTATCCCGCTTACTGCAGGGGAAGGCCGTACACAAATTTGCTACATGTGTTTCTTGGTGCGAGTACACACAAAAGCGCAACTTGCAGCTCTGAAGTCTGTGGATGCTGGCGCCAATCTTGTAACATAAAAAGTGCAGAATCCCTCAAAACAGGCACCCTCCCTGGTTTTGTCAGTAGCTCCAGCTGGTAGAAAGCCAGTTTCTGACAACTAGACAAATCCATCACAAATACCAAATCAATGCAACAACGTTTGACGAAAATTGGGAGATGCGTTGCGCGTGCATCGTCTTCTTTGGCGTGCCTGCAAAGCGCGTCTGCCATCTTTTGCAGCAGAGTCTCCTCCAGCGCACAACTCTCCGAAATCGGCTGCGCCACTGCCGTGCCAAACAGAAACCAAAGCGGAGTGCCAAGATCTTAAGCATTCAGAGCATCAAAAAGGGGAGAAAACAGACAGAGAGAGAGAGAGAGAGATGGACAAAGAGAGCTTACAAACTACTCGTGGACAATCAGGGATCACACTTGTTCGGATTCAGGATTGCCAGCTAAACTCCTGAAGATGTAAAGTGTTCTGGCTGAGGTTGCGAAGCAAAGGAGAGACTCAAGCTGCCGTCGCGCAGCTGATGTCGCGTGCCGGTTTTGTAGATATCATTTGGGATGAATGCCGTGGAATGCAACAAGATGCGAGCGGCAGGCAAATGGCCACATGCACACGGCTTCTTAGTCAAACACCGATGTGTTTATGTTTAGGCAAGGAAAGATACTCTCCGAAATTGGGTCCAACATGGTCTCGGGCTTCATGTGTTGTGATTATTTTTACGTGGATAGCCTCAAGCATCCCTGCTAGTCTTGCAGATTGCCTTCACCGCAGTACTTCGTACAAGTTTTGGTGTAAATACAAACCATATATTGTAAATACATGTATGCTCCCCCGGAGATGGACCAAGGTTCTGGCCTGGAGAGTCAAACTGTCACATGGCCAAGATCTGGGAGGTTAAAGCAAGCGACTTGCAGTTTCCCCGTCCAACCTTCAGCACCGTTTCACTGGTATCTCTGAAAGACAGATTGTTCTGGTAGAATGTTCATATCTATCGGGAAGCCTGTAGGATCTTTGCAGCCAACTTGCGCAACTATTCCCGTAGTAAACCTGCTTCAAACTGACGGAGCCTTGAGGCATTCGAGACGAGCTCCAAAAGGATTCAAGATTCATCCGAAAAGTGTTCTCCTAATCTGGAGAAACACTCTAGAGACACTCCAGAGGGCTTTGAGATTCAGGATTTTATGCTTGACGTCCAAACATTGTCTTCTCGAGTTTTGAATCCTGTGCCTAGGATCTCTGACGATCGAGATTGGGGTGGATGGAGGGCCTAGACATTAGACTTCCTAGAATTCATCTAGATCAATCTAGATATGCCAAGATTCTCCTTGCTGTGTGCCGAGATGTGCTTGTAAGTGTGCTGTGCATGCGTCGGCAACTACAGTACTCACGCGCATGGCTGTATGCGGGCTCATGGCCGCATGGCTGCATGGCATGAAATCCTTGACATTACGGACCGGTGCCTCATCTAGATGCTGCTTTGGACACCAGGATGACGCTTTCAAATGGGGCAGGGTCCTACCACTAAAGAAACAGTGGCAGGTGCTGACAGAAGTGCCACTTTCTCAGCTGACGATAAATTAAACTGATTATTGTCCGTACGATGCTAAGCAGTGTCGTTGCAATTGGCTCTTTGGCATCAATTCTGTGAGTCTCGAATCCTGCTGCATTTCAATCAAACACTCTTTGAAGTGTTGTAGCTTTGATCCTGATTGCTCTCACCTTCGCACGTGTTTCTCGAATGTCAGGCCTGCTTGGAGCCCCACTGCGCCATGGCCCAGGCCACATTGGACCTGGGCAACGCATTCACTCCGTTGGCAATAGTCCGACACGCCAATGATGCATTCACAAAGCCCGTGGCAAACTTTCCGTGGTGAAGGTGTCCATCTTGTCCTGCACCAAAGCACAAGCCAACTATGTGTGCTCCAATCGGCGACAATCCAGACCAACCGGCATGTGGTGCGAATCAAATACAGGGTGAATAGTCGGAGTTCACTAGTGCATATGCAAGTCGGAAATGTACATGGTCTGTCCACGCATTGGCCCGCAAGTCTCTGAGCGAGAGTGTCATTCCACCTTAATGTATGTCACAGAATTTTGCATGTTTATGGTCTCTGGAACATCCACAACTTGGGCCACCAGCAGACCAACCTTCGCAAATGCCCAGGCAGTGTTAGCCAGCTCTTGGTGCTGGAAACCTGGTCAACGCTTCAGGCATTGCACACAAGAGGGCTGCAATGAAAAGACAGTTGAAGTCGGCAAAGGTGAGACTGTGTTACTCAATGTGGGGTAATGTCCCATGTTGCCAGGGCGCACGTTTCGAGACTCAAGCCAGAACGTCGGGACGTGTCCTACGCGCTGCATTCGGCAGCAAGAGGTGAAACCAGGAGAAAATGGAAAGGACCGGCCAACAGCTTCAGATCTACATCCGAGGCGACAATTTTGTGACTCAGAACTGAGATTGGGACTGGCACACGGGGTGCCAATCGTCTGAAGCTTCGCAGGCCCGGGCATTAGCACTGTGCAACATCAGGCGCAAGGCAAGCAGCGCAGCTTCATTGACCACACACTGCATGCCCAATGCCGGAGCTGCGCGCACATATCATAAAGGCTGCCGATCTACATTGCGAAACCATGAACACCCAGGTTCACCCTCGAACATCTGGCCTCCGACAACGACTGAGGTTTTGTTCCATAAGTGGAACAACAAGAACTACATTTGAGGTGAACCGCAGATATTCATTCTATCAATTAAGAGAATAGAGCCTATCTTGGCTTTCTGATGCGCAGCTTGCTGGCCTTGGATGTATCCACGCAGGCATATGCCGATGGCCAGCCAACCCAAACTTCGGCTCTCTTTCAAGGCATGCTCTCTGCTTTAGCCAAGTAGCTGCAGCCACAGAGGGCGCTGGCCTCCGCTTCACGCCGGACAAAAACATTGACAAGCAAGTGACATTGGAAAAAGGATTGACTGGCTTCTCCAAGTCAATCAGACTGTTGAGTTTTGGTCAGAGCCAAGTGCTTCCAGCTGTCTGATTTCTTCCATAAGCCCTTCAAGCTGGACTGAGATGGAGTGGGTCTTCCCTGGCCAGCTCCATCAAATGACTGTTTTGCTCATGGCTGCAGTCCTTTGCTTTCAAAAAGTGAAACAGTCGCATCACAGGGAAAGCTGCACGAGACGCATGGGCCTTGTGGGCTTTGCTGAGAGTTGAAAATCCTTTACGCTACCCCCAATGCGTCAAAGCAGCAGCTGGCTCCCACTGGCACGGTTCGTCGGGCTGGAGGTGGCAGGAGATCCCCCACGCACCAAAGCCGAAGAAACCTAAGGTTGAGAGTTGAGAGACTGCGAGGAGCCAAGAGTCTGTTCTTGAGGCAAGGGAGAGTTCTGGTCGCTTTCATCTCTGAGTTCGCAATACAACCCATTCATGACAAACGGATCCGAGCCTTTGCCCAAGGAATTGATCCGAGCTCGTGACAGTCGGCCGGCTGAGACGCGGCAGCAAGGGGCCTTTGCCCAAGTGACTAAGTGACTGTGCAACCCAAAATATTCCAAGAATTCCCTGTTCTACAGGGCGTCCAGCCGTTTGTGAATGTCAAGCACAAGCAATTCGGTGGCAACAGCCTGAAGGCTGAGCAAACAGCACTTGCATGCAACCTTGGGCGCCCAGCGCGAAGTATCTCCTGCTGGCCTGGTCTCACACCCGGCTAGTGGCTGGCATCCAGTTGAAAACGCAAAAGCAATGGCCTGCCTCGGTGCAAAATAGACATAAACAAGTTAAGGACGACCATCCCTTGTCACCAAGGTCAACAGGTCTGCTAATGGCGTCGGTTCGGTCATGCCAGGTCTCAAGCCTCCCTTCTTCTCATCCCACGTGCGAAGAATTCTTTCATCTGAGGCACATTTGGCGGCCGGCACGGTGCCCATAGCCTGCACCATGCGCTCTCCCCCACTCTCAACCACACTGCACGGTTTCGGTCCATCAGTCGAGGAAGTGCCACAATCACAGCTATCAAAAAGACGTGGATACGCCCTGACCTGTTCGGCCAACATCCGGCCTGGGGTTGTGCGTTCAACATTGGCCAGCGCCTTTGTCCTGCCAAAAAATGAAAAGTGTACGAAGAGTCGTGTCGGGCAAAGCTGAGCCCCAAGCGGCAGCCAGGCCAGCACACCTCACAAGCAAACCGAGACAAGACGCGATTTCGACAGCTCAACTTGCGTAAACTGCAGTCCCTTTGCTGTAACCTTCCCATATGTTTTTGCACGGCAAGCTCAATGGGGCCAGCACCAATGGGCGGAGGGAAGCGAACAGAGCTGGTGCCATCGGACATGTCATCCTTTGTGACGATGCCCTGGCCATGTGGACATGAGCAAGTAGTCAATCTGAATTCAAACCACAAGCGCAACCGGACAACTCCAAGCCAGGTCATCGCCATGACTACATTGGAAAAAAATGCTAACCTGATGATACCGCACTAGGCAGACACCAGAGCAGATTCCCCAACAAGAACTGAAACCCATCGATCTCTCATTCTCTAGAGAGTCCCACTCGCTTGAACACTTTTGAAGGCTGTACTCTGATCCGGTTCACCAGGACACGTTGACAATAGGCACAGCAATAGACTCACCAATGGACAGCGTGCCTCCTGGCCCGCTAGTGTCGTGAGGCGGTTGTCCCACTGAAGCGCAGGGTGCTGCTC